ATCCTTTGCTTCCCCTACCTGTATTTCCCTTCTCCTTTGCCTTTCAAAGCTTAGTCACCAGACACCCATTGCTGTTTTCAACCCTTTACACACTCCCAGCAGCCTATGGAGAAGGGGATTATTACCCCCACCCCCTGCATGGATTAGGAAGATGGTGCACAGTTAAATTCAGGAACTTGTTCAAGGACCTGTAGCTAGTGATGGTGATGAGGTTCAAATTCAGGTAGTCTAACTTTAGAGCCTTCACTTTTTATAGGCAGAAATTGCCCATTTCTCTCACTTTTTTTTTTTTTTTTTTTTTTTTTTTTTTTTTTTTTTGAGACAGTGTCTGTGTAGTTCAGGCTGGCCTTGGACTTACTATGTTTAAACTCACAATGATCCTCCTCCTGCCTCAGCCTCCTGAGTGTTGGGATCATAGGTGGGCGCCACCATGCCCAGCTTCACTGTCCCTCCTGCCTCTAGGGATAGCAGTGGTTTCCGTCATGGTGCTGCTTCTAGTTTCTTTAGCTTCCGGGCATGGACTGCAGCGTCTGAGAGCTCCCCACAGGCCCTTTTTGCAGCTCTGTGTGTGAACAGTCACAGACATGTCCTCCCTCCCTCCATCCTCCTCTCTGACTTCACCTCTTCCACCTGCATGTGCAGGTCTGCAGTAGCAGAGCTGGGAGAGGTAGAGAAGGGCAGCTGCCTGTAGGAGTGTGGGATTATGCTTTCCTTAGAACCTGGCTGCCTCCTGCCCAGACAGCAGCCCCAGGCCCTCTGCTGGCATGTGGTGTCCCTGCCATGGTGCTGAGACCTTTCCAGACAGGGAAGTGACCAAGACTCGAGAGACCCAGTTGCTCCTATTCTTCCAGTTGCCATGGGATTATTTGAGTTGGTCCCGGTGAGGGAAGGAAGGCCCACCCACTGCAGGAGAGGGGCAGGGCTAGACTGGAAGCCAGGCTCTCTGCCCTCCCACCAGAATCTAACTGGGCTGTGCTGCCTTTGGGCCCAGGGCTGACTCGGGTCCTGCTGCAAGGAGGTGGCCAGGTGCTGCTTGGCTGGATGCTGCATTACTTCCCATTCTTCCTGATGGGCCGGATCCTCTACTTCCACCACTACTTCCCAGCCATGCTCTTCTCCAGCATGTTGACAGGTCAGCCCTGCCCACCTGCATTTGGCAGGGAAGCAGGAGGCGGGCAGGGTGGGAGAGGACGAAGAGGCTGCCGTGGAGCAGCGGGGCTGAGTGAATCTCTGCTTCCTGGCGTGGGGCAGCTCCTTCCTGCTGTATCCCCAGGAGTCATTCTCACGGGCTGGTACTAGGTGTCTCTTCTGTCCACCAGGCATTCTGTGGGACACGCTCCTGCGGCTCTGTGCCTGGGGCCTGGCCTCCTCTTCCCTGGCCAGGGGTGTACATGCAGCGGGAATCCTGAGCCTGCTCCTGGGAAGCGCCTACAGGTGTGCATGCCCCTCCATGGCCCTCCAGTGGGGCTCACTGGTGCTTCAGCCATGGGCACATTGAGAAGCTTTTAAGGTATCCCAGTATCTAGGCCTCATCCACAGAGGTTTTGATTCAGTTGGGCCAGAGTGGGGCTCAGTCAGAATTTTCAGAGCCCCCCCGGTGACCCTAATTTGTAGTCAGGAGCCAGATAGAAGAAGCAAGAGGATCACTTCACATCTTCTCTGCCAGGTTCCCAGCTTTGGCTGGGAGGACCTACCAGAAGGGTACCCTCTTCAGTCATTGTCGCCCTACTGGAAGGGTTCAGTGGGGTGAGGGAGAGGAAGGGAAGGGAAGGGAGGAAAGAGTGGGAATATGGGTATAGGTAGTGTGTTCAGAATTTCTGGAAAGAGACACTTGTTTGAGAAGTCTGTGCCCCTCACCTCCAGCCCTCTTCCTGCCTCTGGCAAGGCCCACAGATACTGACGAGAATTGCTGGCTCTTGTGGTGGGGCCTGTGATCTATAACAGTGTTCCTCCCAAAGACGATTAAATTCCCATGTTGCAGCCCAAGGCCAGACCCCAATACAGGGCCCTCTTCTAGGCCTATAGGGGAGAGCCCTTTCCTTCCTTGCCATTCAGGCAGCATCTCCCAAGCCATTGAAGCAGAGTACGTCCATGTGATGTGCTCAGATGGCCAAGGTGCCAACATAGAAGGGTCCTTTGGGGTAGGAAACCGTCTGATGGGCCCCAGCAGGAGGAGCTGCACCCAGAGCTCCTCAGCTGCACCACTGGAGTGCCCACTGCCTCCCTCTGGTTTTCTCTCACAGCTTCTACCTCTTCCACCCCCTGGCTTATGGGATGGTTGGTCCTCTGGCCCAGGACCCCAGAAGTCCAATGGCAGGACTGAGGTGGCTGGAATCGTGGGAGTTTTGATGCCTACAAGGATGCCTGCCTGGGTCCAGGAATATCCTGGCGGCAGCCAGCTCTGGAGCCAATCCCTGGACCCTTCTGGCTGCAGGGGACCTAAGGAACCTGAAGAATTCTGCCGCTGCTAGCACCAAGCTCCAGGAGCAAACCCAGATTTGACCCAGCGATGCAGAACCACAACCCTGTCTGCAGCACCTACAGAATCTCTCCACATGGTTCCCCAAGTGTATAGTCCAGGGAGGATGAGTATGCAAGAGGGTGGTTTGAGTGTGGGAGAGTGCATATTTGAGGTTACCTTTGTCAAATGCCTGTGGGATAGACCATGTGACTGTCAACAGCCAAGTGTCATAAACACTAAGAAACAGTCCAGGGCTACAGTAGTGTTTTTGGTTTTTTTTTTTTTTAATACTGGATTTGGTTTGATTTGGGATTATAAGATCCATAAGAAATTCTCTGATCTCTAAGAGGCCTGAGTGCTAACCCCACCTCGGGATGTCACCAGGAAGACAGTGGAGGGGACCATTAAAACTGTGCTACTACCCTCCTTCCCACCAGCAAAGAATCTAGCTGAGGAGGACGAGCACCCAATGCAGAGAACTTGCCCCCTGCTCTTTCCTGGGGGGTTGTCTGCGCCTGCAGGTGGCTGGACTGCCTGCCAGTGCTGTGCAGGGTGCTCAGCTCCAGGGAGCAAGGTGGCGAAGTTGGCAGCCCTTGGCTGGCCTTCCTTAGTCCTTGTCCTTGCTCTCTGGGAATGTCACACTGAGTTTGGTTGGAGAAACCTTTCCTAACCTTGTCCACTCTAGGTACCCAGGCCCTGTGTGTCAGAGATTGTTTCTTGTGATTCCTCTCTTTCCTTCTGCATCCATCCTGACCATGAGAACAGAGCCAGATGTATTCTTCTGCTTGCTGGGAGACCCTTTGGGGATCTGAACAGCGGAGGCAGATGAGAGTCAGAGCAGGGACTCTGGTGCCAGGCTGGGATTCCAGCGGGATGTCAGAGTGTGGGATACTCTGGACTGTCTGGACGAGTGGTTCTGTCCCCTGCTGGGATTCCCATTTCACTTCTCCTGCCTGACATTCCTTTTCACTCCTTGGTATTTATTTCCTTTCCTCTGTCACTGCTTCACCAGTCTGTTTTCCCCAAAGACCAGAGCTCCTAGAGATACATGACAGCTTCTGCTGTCTCCTATTTTGAAGCCCAAACAAGGAGCTGAGAGCTGCTGCTTCCACATCCTCCCCAGAGGGGTTAAGAAAACTTCTGGGTCAGAACCAGTCCAACCCAGGGCCAGCTCTTCACTGCAGGACAGCCTCCCTCCTCTCAGGACAGGGCGGAATGTTCATTTTCTCTCAGAGGACTTTGACGCTTCACAGTTTAATGATGAATTTCTGCCACACTCCATCCTCCCTCTGTTGTAGCTCCCAACAACTCTGACAGGGTCAGAGCTCTTTAAAGCATCTTCAGGAGGCGGTTGCCACGGAGACTGGAAATTGGTCTCAGGGACAGGCTGTGCTACCTATTGAGTGGTGGGGAGGGAAGTTTCTGGGCCACACTTGGACATTTAGATCATTAATAGAGGAAATGCAGTCACGTGAAGAGCTCAAGGCAGCGCGGTTAATTAGATCTGAGGCCCGTGACCTCCCTCTCCCAGTGCTGCAGCCTTTCTGACTTCCCCCAGCAGGAAGCGCCGCCTGTGTGCTGAGTCTGGGCTGCCGGTTTAATTGCATTTCTGGTGAGGAGGGACAGCAGAAATAGAGAAGCTCTGTGTGCACCCTTCTCTTCCCCACTCCTCCTGCCTCCCCACAGGCAGTTGTTTTCTTCTGAGCTGGGTGGGGACACCATCTGGATGGGCTCTTAGGAGTAGCATGCAGGAATCTGGGCATGGCTTTTAGTAAAGAAGGTGGTCCATGATGACATCCCAGAGGTGGCTGATTTTCTTTTGTGCCTTCTCATTTTCCAAGGGGAACCTGTTGGAAGGGAGAAGCTCTGAAGGGGTCAGAGGGGGCATCCTCGAGAAGGGTGAGGAAATCGAGGACTCAGCCAGCTCCCCTCCACCCTTCCTTTCGGATTTGGCCACACTGGAGACAAGAGTTTCTTCTACTGCTTTTTAAGAATGGAAGAGAGAGAACTTCCTTATCTACTCCTTCCTCCATGCCCAAGCTGCCAGACACCTTTCTGGGGGACAAGACTACGTGGGTTGATGCAGCTCAGTGTGCTCATTTTTTGTCATTTGGAGGTGCTGGGGAGAGGCTGACAGGTTGCTGCTCTAAATATGGCTGTGGTCCTCTGGAATTTGCAGAAATGTACATGTCCTACAGACTGCTGGGAGAGGAAGACATCTGTCAGGCAGCACCTTGAGCCACTTTTTTGGGGGGGGTGTTAGGGATCAAACTTGGCACCTTGCACTTGCGAGGCAGGCAGGGGAACCACTGAGCTAGATCCCTGGCCCCACATTTTATGTTTTAAAAAGGTTTCCAGAGACAATGGGAGGCCATTTACTTTTGTAATAAATAGCTCTTGTTTTGATTGCCATGTTCATGTTGTACTTAATTGAATCTCACTTGCCCTCTGCTTCCAGAGAGGCGGCCTTTAGAAGAGAAGAATGTGTGGTGGGCGGGAGCCATTCCATCGGGCCGTGCCTGTGCCCATTCTGATTGCAGCACAGACTGGCTGGGCACATGAGCCTGATGCCAGGACTTGGGGCCTTCCAATGTAATTACTGGAGTAATAGTGGTGGCTATTTTAGTTTACTTATTCTAGAATCAGTGGGAATGTGGACCTCATATGTTTTTCTTTAACTTACCCAGATAGTACCGAAAAGGAGCTATAGTGTAGAAAAGTGACTTTGTCCACTTCTGAGAGCTGAGTGGCCAGCTTGTGGCAATGGGGGGCCGTTCTGCCTAGCTGAAGCTCCATTCTGACAGGGTCCACTGTCATCAGGAATGGCCTTGGGGATCTCAGGGACACAAGTAGGGCAGGAGGGGAGAGGTAGTGCACTGTGGGGAACTTTGGGTCATCTCGCTGCCTAAATAACCCAATCAGCCAGGAGTGGCTGGAGGCAGGCTGGCGGGTATCCAGCTCCTCAGAAACCTACCAGACACTCTTTTTTGAATGCATGGCCCAGTTTGTGGACTCTCAACGGCTGTGACATTTAATCCTCATAAAGGCCCAGTGAAGTCAGTGATGTTTTTGTTTCCATTCTGCCATTGAGAGAATAAATTACTTAGCTAAGGTCCCACAGTTAGAAGAGAGGCAGGATGTAGCACCAGGCAGGCCCTTTGCATGTCCTCCCACCTGGTCCTGGAGCTAGAAGAACCTCCTGGAGCACCATGGTGACTCCAGATGCTGAGGTAAGTGTCCTGACTCAGCCTGCTGCCTTATATATTCTGTATCATGTGTTGGCCTCAGCTCGGTCAGGCCAAGTGTTTCCTGGTTCCTCAAGTGCACCCAGACCAGTGGCCATAGATTTTTAATTAACAACAGGTTTTCTGTGGATGGAAAACAGAAACTCAGTCAACCCTAATATGTAGCATTTGCCAGTTTCTGTGGTATAAATACTTCTACTGTGGCCTGTTTCAAGCCATCAGCTCGATGTCCCTGAGTGACACTCTGGAGAGATGATGCGTAGTAGGCTCTTGCAAGCCTCATAGGAGCTGGCACCGGCATGCTGCTGACCCAGACTCAGTGACCTTGGCTTGGTCTGTACAGCGGACGTGGCTCTTGGTCATGGAACATTAGAGTGAGGGAAAGCTGAGTATGGTGGCACACACCTGTAATGCCAGCACTCAGGAGGCTGAGGCAGGACTGCTGTGAGTTTGAGGTCTGCCTGAGCTATATAATGTGTTCGAGGCCACCCTAAACTACATAGACCCTGTTTCAAAACCCCAAATAAATGAGGAAGGCAGTAGACAGCATGAGCCAGAGGATCAAACTTGAATTCAAATCCTGACCCATCACTTGTTAACTGTGACCTTGATCCAGTTAAATTCTTGCCTCTTTCCTCAATGGCCAGATGAAGGCATAATCACATTTACTCACAGGCTGTTGTGAGGATGCCAAGAGCTAATGGCCTTGACATGCAAATGCCCATCAATGCCAGCTCTTCACGGCCAGTAAGGATACATCGACCTGAGTGAAAGCACTGTCTTGAACAGCATGGAACTCCCTCATATTAAAGCCTCCTGTACAGGTCTGGCAGGTCCTAGAGGAAGAGCTCCTGAGACTTCCCTGGCCCTTCACAAGTGGACCCTCTATCTCTTGGTTGGGACACTTAGGCTTCACCTGGTCCTTAAGGCTTTCTACTGTATCAGAGTGCACTTGGGTCCCTCCTGCTGCCTCTGGCTGTAGGAAGGCAGAGGGAAGCTATGGGTTTGAGCGGTGACTTTACATTTAACTAGCTAAGGCCATGACCTTCCATGAACTCATGGGATCACAGACCCAGGCCAACAGGGAATGGGGGCAAGACACGTCCTAGGTGTGGACTGTGGCCTTCTCCCTTCGGTCCCATCCCTTTGTGCTTTTGCTTGAGGACACAGGTTTGCCAGACTGTCTCCAAAGTCTTGGTGTCCCACTCTAGCCTAGGGACCCAGAGGTATGTGGGGAGATGGGGGAGAGTAGAATAGAGTACGCTTAGACTGTCCTTGGAAGAGGCACAGCAGCTAGATGGTTTCATGAGGCTTGGCCCGAAGCAGGACTGAGGCACCAGTCCTGCCTCAGCACCAGGAGTTGTAGAAGGGAAGGCTTCAGCACAGGGCTGGCCAAGGGCCACAGCTTGTTCACAACCCATATAGACCAGGGACACTACCTTGTATCCTTGGGACCAAAGATGGGAGTCTGAAAGGCCTTTAGAGACCTTGCCACCCAACTCCCATTTGATACAGCTGAGGAAATGACCAGAGAGAAGTGGGCAGATGGAGAGAGGCTCAGAGACTAAAAAATCATGAATGACAAAATGAGGGTAAAATGGGCTTGGTCTCCAAAATCTAGGCCACTGTGATAGGCATGAGTCTTCTGTTTTAAAAAGTAAGTCGTACTACTTTTTTAGCCCCGATTGTTAGTAAATCATAGACCAATGGAATGGTAGAGTTTAGCTCTCTCCATGTGTAGGTAGTGCAGCCCCCACATCGACTGCATCCATCCTCAGGATTCTACCCAGATCAACCAGGACTGGGTTTGGAGCTGGACCTCACAGGTTTCCCAAACTGAAGTCTCAGGAAAATGCAGGTCCAGGCTGGAAATGGCTGTGGTCTGGGCTCTTTCCCTCAGACAGGAGGCCCTGTTCTGCTAAGCCTGCTGGTGCCCCAGTCAGACCCAGAGCTTGGGCAGAGCCTCTCTCTACCCTGCCCTTCTGCCTGGTCCGCAGGTAGGTGACCTAATGTCTGCTGACTGGGCCTCAGAATGAAAGAAACAGCAATCGGGTACAATTTGAACAGAGACCAAGTGTCCAGAGAGTAGCAAAGTCTAAAGCCTCCAAGCGGTTTGAGTGGGGTGATCAAATTCAGCACAGTACCAAATCTCTGTGCAACTGATCCTTCTAGTGTGGGTAATATTACCACTACTTTCCAAGAAACTAGTGAAAAACCAAGACATGGGCTCAATGATTTCTTTTAAGCTCTGAAGCCTGAGCATCTCCTAGGCCTCCGCGTCGTTCCCAGCCCAGGCGGTTGCAGAGGGAGTGCGCGCCTTGCTAGACGGGAGGGGGTGAGAGCCGCGGTTGCTTTAAAGGGCGGCTCTCGGAGCAGCTGGGCGCCGGGCGCAGAAGCCCGAGCGGGGTCTCCAGAAGCGGCAGCCGGTCGGGCACTGCGGGGTTGCCTCCAGCTTGGGCCGGCCTCGCGTTATCTTCTCTCAGCTCCGCTGGGGAAGGAGCAGCTGCTGGGCCCAGCCCGGCGGAGGCACGGGGGCTGTAGGGGGTGCAGCCCAGTTGCCGCGGAGATGGCGCTGCACTTGCGATGACGGCGCCCGCGCCCCGAGGGTCCCAGCCCTGCGCCCAGTGTCCCCGGGAGAGGATGGAGCGCCCGGAGCCCGAGTTGATCCGGCAAAGCTGGCGGGCAGTGAGCCGCAGCCCGCTGGAGCATGGCACCGTCCTGTTCGCCAGGTGAG